TATTTGATTATTAGTGTTTTGGAACTTGTGGTTGGGACTTGATTTGTAACAAACTTCTGCATAGATGCTGGATGTTCAGTAAAACTAGTAATGCTGCTTGGATCCTATCCTATGTCCTTTTCTTTTAAATAGCTATTTTTAACAATTCTAATTTCGCCCTTTCCTCCTCCATTCCTATCAATTTTTATCATTACTCCTGCAGAATACTAGTTATGCTGTTATTGCATTGTGTTCCAAGATAACTGGTAAAACCTTATTTATGGTCATATTCTCTTTGTTGATGTTTTGCAGTATCCTGCTGGAGAGATTTCGCAGCCCGGTGCACATTACATGCATCACCAACAACCTCAACAGATGACTCCTCAATCAATTATGGCTGCACGAGCTTCCATGTACGGCCAACAGCAGTTTCCAGCACATCAAGAAGTCTTGCATAGCCAACTCGGAATTAGCTCGGGAGGAAGCAGTGGGATCACCATGCTACAAGGCAGAGGCTTTCCTGATTTTGGACGTGGCAATACAGTAACCAGTGGAAGTGCTGAACAGCAAGGTGGAAGTTCAGGAGGGCACGGAGGTGATGGTCGTGAGAATCTCTGATTAAAAGTGACTGAGGATGGAACGGTTAAACGAGTTTTCTGCTGACGTTTGAACTTGGGAGTTTTGGCCGAGAACTGTTTCTTCAGAAACTTAGAACGCATCTACATGTAATTTATTTCAGGGACTGTAGTTGGGAATGTACTAGTAGATTATTAGTGCCATGTTTTTGTTCCTTTACTTTATTGACTCTTTCCTTTGCAATGCTATTATCAACATTTTGTCTTATTTTACATTTTATTTAGATTGAATAAGTCAAAAGTCAAAAACTCCCTCTGCAGGATGACCAACCAATCCTAATCCAGAAGCTAAGGTTGCGGTTGATTTGGCGTTTTCGGGCCATTTTTCGTGTTCGAAAATGCATTTGATCCGTCATTTTCGAAAATGCAGCTTTCAAAACGAGTTAAAATTTTGAGCTGAAAACGCAAAACGACTTTTTATCATTTTTAGCGTTTTCAGTTATAAATTCTCAAAACACGAAAAATGAAAAACGCCCAAAACACGCTGTTTTCAGAGAAAACTAAAAATCGTTTTGAAACCGAAAATTAAAAATGGAAAAGTAAATCAACCGCAGCCTAATTTGTTTTGACTTTCCATATGGTGATGACAGCCTACTTAGTTGCGCTTGTTCAATAACATCCAAGAACCCACACGAATGATCATACAATGAGAAATGGAAATGAAAATACCTAACCAGCCCCAAAACCATCATAATGCTGATAAACGGTAACAATATTTTATTTATTTTACATTGTTCTTTCCCACAGGTAACAACAAAGTTCAACCTACTACTGTAAACAATCACAGGTGACCGATAAAGGTAACAAAAATTGAAATTATGGGGCAAAGAAAGAGGAAACCCATCAAAAGCTGTACTTTAACAAGAACTCGACAGGAGTACACCAGTGGACAAAAATGAGCACAACAAAGTGACTTGTATGAGGGAGGTGTTCCCCTTTGGCTTCGGGCCTTGAAATGTTATATTATTCGCCTCTTTTTACAAAGAAATAAAGAAAGTCTGCAAGTTTCACATTGTAACTGTCAACTTGATTGTGCGGTGATGACTATGAGATTTGGACCTACCTCAGGCAGTTGAATTACCAAAACCAATGCGTATACTTCTCTTTATCTATGATTCTCCAGGAAATTCTATATTGATTTCAGTGCCTGATATGAAAGATAATTTCAGTGCTTGTACATAAACAGAAAAACAGAAGGGAAAAGTGAAAGATACAGTTCCTACTTTATCTTCGAAAGGAATGATCAAGTGAAAAACTTTATGGGCAACTAACTTTCTACTTCTCAGAAATTTATGCAGCAAAAGATTGTATATCACACCACTGTTGCACTTCCCTGTAGTTACATGCAACCGTCTAGTTGAAACTAAATTGTATGGGTTTCTACCTTGTACCTTACGCCACTAAGATCCAATTTACCCTTCATACATTTATCAATCTGTAATTGTACAAAATAAAAAAAATAAAAAAAACTGCAGACGCAATTTGGCACCATAGACATTTAAAACATGAAAACGAGATAGCACTACATGAGGGAGGAGGTCAATTCAAATATTTAGCAAGTTACTTATCTAGGAGCTCACATCTTTTAATAGTAAACGGACTTTTGTGTTCAATAATATAGAGTTAAAATGAATGGTTGGAACTATATTTGGTATAGTTCCCACAGCAGTAAATATAACAGAATGAAAAGAGACAAGAAGACAATGATGACATCTACTTGATACACTATCAAATAATAATAAAACCCATAAGAGTATGATGCTCTTAAAACTAACCATGATATGTTAAAACTATATAGTCCAAGACTTGAAGGGGGTATTGCAAAATGGAAGCACCATTCACATGTAACTCGGATTAACGAAAATATGTACCTTTTATCAGTTAACATATCGAGATTTGTTTTTAGCCTGAGCTCTTTTGATATAAGGGGCAACCAACAAATCCAATTTTACCAACCAAAGTGCAACTGCAGATGATGTTTGTGGCATGGATGGGAAGCTCGTAAATATTTGATCCAGGAGATAATTAGGACTCAAGTCGTCATTTAGTTGATAAAACCAGTCCTCATTGATAGCACTGATAAAATCAGCAAGAACCTAAAGCATTTGTAAAAGCAGACGAGAGAGAGTATAAATATCAGCCTCAAGATAAGTGAACCAGCAATAATCAAACACAAAATAACGGACAAGCAATTTTCATCACCTGCAAAAACTCTGCCAAACTCGAGGTTCGTCGTAACCTATTGATCCAAAGATTATGAGCAGATCTTTTCCAAGGCCCCAAAAAGGCATCGTCGGGCAGAACTGTCTGCAAGTACAAAGAAAATGTTGATCCAAGGTAACTGAGAAAACAATCCAAATCAAAGCACCAGAATTCAATTAAAACTCCTTTTTCCCAGAGTTGTTTCAACTGTTCCCCTATGGCAACGGCACTTTCTATGCTTAAATAAGCTATAATTTTTTAGGCACTGAATCTGCCCTGCAATTATAAGAAATGTCCAAGCTGCACAAGAGTCGGTGAATAGTTACAGTTCACTTCTATGCACATTAAACAGGATTTATCACTCCTGAAATGCCAAAGGTAAATTCGAGCTCCTCCCACTCAACCATAAAATATTCCTATCAGCAATTTAAACATCTGGGTTTCTATCATGATGTCAGTCTAAAATAGAAGGCATCAAATGTTATTTCATGTACTGCCAAGGCAGCTATGTGATTTGTACCACTTATACAGTACCATATGCATCGTACAATTTTAATTGCCTACTGGAATGCCATGGTCAAGCGAACTAGGTGATCTTAAACCTGCTACAAATCCATTATTTCCTATTCGTTGAAAGGATGCCATAAAAAATGAGATGCGTGACACATTGCTGCAAGGTGAAAACTTCTTACCACGATTTGTGCTGCAACAGCTAAAAGCAACCCATTTAAGAAATGCCAGGATTCATGTAGAGGTTGGTTTCCAAAAATAAAAAATAAAAAAAATAAACCGATGTTTTCAGTATGCACAACATAAAACCATCACCCAAAGAAGCATGTTTAGAAATAATCAATAAACAAACAGACTCGAACAAGTTCAATGACCAGAAAAGACAGCATATTTATGCTACATGCGTGAAAGTGACATGCATCAATATTCTGTGAAATATTTGAAGGCTTAGCTATATAACAACTCACCTCAATTGCATAAATTGCAGCTTTGAGTGCTTGCAACTGGGATGACAGCACCCTTTGCTTATGAACATTGTTGATATTTGTACTGTCCTGACATATTGCAGAATGAACAGCATATCTTTCTTCTAGATCAAAATCAAGCTCAAATGTGGTATGGCAAACCACACAGTGCTTCTCATCTCTCCAATAGAGGTCATGACAGTGTTCACATCTTCTGAGTGAGTCACTATATGACCTCTTCCCATTTTTAACAGAGTTGAGTTCTAAATAAAATGAATTCCATATCCACGAGCCAAAAGCTTGGGAACAGCTCCATTGGTCTTTCTGTTCTCCTTTCTTCCCGGCTTCAGGAACTATAGCAACGGTAGAAGAGGGAAGATCATTTTGCATTTCGCAAAGGCTCAATTGGTTATCAACATCAGACACTGGAGATGAACTATCTTCTCTAGATGTATTCGGTTCAGATTGATCAAATATAGTGAGCTGCCTGATTCTACCAGCATTTGGCATACTGGACATTGCCTGGCAAAGAAATGCTCTCTGTTTCTCCAAGGATGCTAGAAGGCGAGCCTCCCGGGCACCCCGACGGTCCAGGGTCAATAACAAAGTGCATAAAGCCTGAAACCAGATTTGTCAGAGAGAAGCGGAGTTCAAAACCAAATTCCAACATTTAAGTAAGAATTAAGTATGTTAAGAACACAAAACCAGACAAAGTTTACCTCTTGAGTATCAATCACCTCCCAATGACCATCTTCAGAAGATTCAAAATAAATCCTTTTGTGGCCAGGATCAAATTCATCACAAGGGCCCAAGAAAATCCAGTATCTATTGTATCTACGATCGGAACCCAGAAAGATAGACTGCATGGGGTGTAAATATTCCTCTGTTTTCATTTCTTTAGCATCCTTCCTCGTGTTGCAATCTTTTCCCTTGCTACCAATCTTTGACATAGGAACTAATGAATCAATTGGCTGTTCTGATGTACTCACGTCATTGTTACTAGCCATTTGTCTACCACCGCCTACTATTAGCCCAGGTTTACATTGTTTCACTGTTGATCGCTTTATTTTTCCACCGGAAGCATAATGATTGATGTTTGGAGAACATTCGACGTTGAGTATAGGTGTCAAGAAATCCTGTGAGAAACAGTAACAGTAACAAAAGGATAACTCATATTAACACATCCACAGCTGATAGAATTCAATTATGAATTCCCATCTCTAAATAAGCAAAATAGATGCGTATATGATCAAATCTAGAAACCAAATAAACATATCCAACATTTATTACAAAATGAAAGTCCATGCAACCACCCACCCATAAGTCATGGCAACAAACAGTAAAAAAATCTGTCTAAAGAAAAGGCCCAAACAGGTAAGTTATTTTTTTCCCCGTACAATGGATAAATATTATATTTTAACTTTATTCTTTCCAGAATCTTAATTATCCAACTAATTACATTTCCAGTTTGCCATTTGCAAGCTGTGCTCAAGAAGCTTCCTAATTGAGCAAAATAAACAGTCGAGGAAGACCAATTCCACTAAACCTCCACGATGGTAATCTAGAAACAAAAGCTTTCTTGTGAAGAGTACATTGATGCAAAATAGATATAACATTTATAGATAGCACTCAAGCACATTTGTTTAAGTTTTGACCAGAAAAGGTGATGACTAAATTTGTTGATGTATGTCTCTTTCACCATTATTACAGAACTTCAATTCATCATTTTAATTCCCCTATAAACAAGCCCGAGCTGCTGAACATTAAATCAAGAGTAACATGACAAGCTCGAACAGATATTTAAACTAATAAAATTTTAAAAACAAGCACGAGCACAGTAACCTATAAAGTCGCTCGAGCACACTTCAACTTCAGCTTGCCAAAAGCTCATTTGAGCTCAGATGCGATGTATGGTATTCTGATAGAGCATCTTCATACTAGTGATTTAGAAAGGTACATAGTAATGTTGGCTAAAAGAAGCTTACATGTGTAAAATAGACTTCACATTCTTGAACAAAGTGAACATGTTGAACTCAAAACTCCATCAAAAGAATGATCAAAGTCTTTAACAGATTACTAAATCTAATTTTAAGCAAACAAGTCCACCTGTTGTTTAGTTGACTCAACTAAGTCAACTAAGATCAGGAATACTACTGTAACTCAATGAAAATTTCATTCACACTAAGTCATCAAATCAACTTAGTTATCACAGAATCTAAGAAATTATTTGACTGTTTTGAGTTAAATTATCCAAATTACTATTTCACTTCCAATTTTAACTCATTATTCATTCACCATACTAAAACCAAAATTAAATGCCTCCAATTCATCATTAAACAATGATCTGGTAAAAATGTAGCTCACAAAAAATATTTATACTTATATTAGCTACTACATTGAGCATCACCCTCAAATCAGTATAAATATTGAGCTATAACACATACATAACCAATACAACTTAAATAGTGTATACATAAATAAGATCGGTGGGTAGAATGATAAAGAAGTTTTATCATACTACCAAGAAACAGGAGAAGATATAAGTATGCCTAGGGAAAGAAGAAACTGAAAAACAGCAAGGCGTATTACCTCTGTTCTAATACTGGATCCAGCACTAAGCAGATCAGTCAATGCAGCTAAAGCATTCAATTTCTCTTCAATGCTTAAATCTGAATATTCACCTTCCATTAAACCTAATAACCACGCTTCTCCTGGATGGCTCTCATCAATTTCATTGTACACTGTCAACATATTATTCTTATTTTTACAATGATCTTGCTTAACTCTAGCTGGACTGGAATCCATGGACTCAGATTTGGAATCATCCGCAAGGTTGGATCCACCACTGACTGCAGAAATCTCATCAACGCTCCCAAAGTCTTCACAATCAGAAGGACATGCTTCTTCTTCTTTTGTGGTTGCATTGATTCGTAGACGATATCCAGAAGAAGAAATCTTTTCAAATAATGTAATGTCACTTGAGAGAACCGAGTAAATTAAATTCTCTAGGTCATGGATCGTATCCACAAGATTCAACTCAACAATCTTCAGAACAAAATAAATATTCGTAAGTAATAGAGAATTACATCGAAATTTGAAACTCGGTTGAACTAAGACTAAAATGAATATTCTTCTCTCTTAATTCAATAATATGCAAACTTACAGATGAGGATTTTGCCAACTCTGAGACTTGCATTCCACTGCTTCCTTGGGTCAGCAAAGTACTGAACAGTTCACCCTTCAATGTACCAGAATTTAAGCCATACTTTGCCATAAGATTGACTTCCTACAGTACAAGAAACAGCAAATAAGCACATGAGAACCATGCAAAACAACCAAGCTGAACCTCATGCGTCAATTGTGTAAAATTGCTTCTCTCAAGCGTTCTTAACAATCAATCTCATGTAATGATCTACTACCCTTTGTGTCAAGGCCACATATCCTATGTGCAACAGAACAAACCATTCATATACATGCATGCACGCATACACAATTACAAGCACCAAAAGCAAGGCCCTGCCACTTGGAGGGCATCAGCAGGGAAAGAGACAGAAAAAGAGGCATACTAAACCATATGCTATGAGCTGTTATGAAATAAAACTTTTAAGCATGGGGCACAACAAAAACAACAAACTAATTCCTAATAAATTTGGGTTAGCTGTGTGAACCCTTATTGTTCATTCCATTCAATCCAGTGTTACATTTGAAGTGAAGGCATGACAGACTATTATGAAAAATTAAAAGGTGAAAAGCACGCATATCAAAAACTTGAATACCTTGGTTAGAGCTCCCTTAGGCGCCATTCCCAGTTTAGAACCAAAACCAGCAGCAACCAACACCTGACGTAATATTTCTGTCCATGTCAGGAGGTTCAGTGACTTCTGCCAGAAGCCTAGGACAAAGTCTTGAACTTCAACCTGCCAAATGACAAAGAATAGATGGTCAAGAATACGTTCTCAAACATGAGTGGCAGAGACTTTTGCCTCCAGATGCATATGACAGGAGGATCGGGAAGGGGTACAGATACATAGAGACGTTTATAGACATTTATCCAAAAACAAGGATTATCGTATCTGGCATGCCACCGACTATGCATTAATTCCAAGCCAAGGTCCTGCATAATCACTATCATCAAAGATCTACAAATGGCCCACAATAAAAGTAAAGAGTGCAGCATGCGAAGACTATTAAGTTTACTTGGTTCCAGTTAATCTCTCTGTCTCTCTTTGATGAGTCTAACACTTTCTCAAGTGCTCATCCCAATTACGTACCAGTTGAGCTGCTGTTTCTCATCAATTAATTCAGCCAATCAATTTAAACATGATGGATGTTAATAATGTTATAACATGAAGCTGAGGGTTTCTCCAGTTTAATGAGGAAATCCAACACCTTTATGGCATTCATGGTGTAATTTAAGTAATTATTCAAGCACATACTTTCTCAGGATACTAGATAGGATCTCCAGTCCTCTATTTTCTATATGTCAATGCTTCCACACTATAAAATGGACTTCCACTGCAAAAGAAAGCTTGAGACAATAGTTTAAAAATTTTACACGTACCTAAAACAAAACCATTGGGGGTAAGGCTTAGTTTGTTTTCTGTTATAATTTTTTCCGTCCCAGAACAAAACAGCATGCTTAGGACAATTTGTTCTCTAAATCCAGTCGAACAAGCTCATCAAGTATGGTATAAATTTTTAAGATTTAACTTTAGAGATGGCCCCCTAGCAAGTGCAAGAAGAGGGTTGCCAGCCCTAAATATTTATGAGAAAAGGCATTGTTTTTTTATTAATGAGTAGACACAGGAACTAACCAGTGACCTTATTCAACTATACTGGATAGATAATGAAGTTCGAATCTCAGATGAGTTGCTTAATCACTAAATTTGCATCTTACAACAAGATTGAGAACAAAGAACACAAATGTAGTTACCATTAAGAAAATCATAGATCGATGTAAAAATCTATCCTACATAATCTAATGAATCTAACCATTATGTCATCAATAGGAATGATGTAGAACAATTCTACCCATGAATTATTTCTTGTTGTAATAGAATTTTATTTCTTGTTTAGATTAGGAATTTTCAAGTCTTCAAGATTTTTTATTACTTTTCCTTTTAGATAATAATTACTTATCTTCCTTAAACTATAGACATTAGCTTTGTAACAATTCTTTACAATTATTGTGCATATTTTCAATTTAGTTCAATTTTATTCCTGTTACTAGAATTCCAATTCCGCTTTCGCAACAAAATGGAAATCAGAGCAAGGTTTTACCCTTAGTTGATCACCACATTTGATGGCAGTTGCATCCTCACGATGATCAGATGATTGCGAAATTAATGATATTAACTGCTATGAATGTTGGGTCACTACAATGAATTCACAAAATGAAACAGGTAGCTAAAATTTTTCCTCAGAGTCCAAGCTAGATTCAAATCCTTACAACGTGATACAGAAATTTTAGATATTTTTCCTCATGATTGATTGATTAATTTTCTCTTCTCCAACCAAACTCGAGGACAATTTTATTTTTTTCAAGTAGGCCAGATTGATGTAAGACAATCCTATCAAGAATAGGATTGATAATTATTTCATGCTGTAATAAGACTTTATTTCTTGTTTAAATTAGGACTTTCTATTCTTTTAGGTTTTTTATTATTTTTCCTTTTAGGTTTTAATTATTTATTTTCCTTTAGCTATTATGATTAGGAGATTATTTTGCAAACAAGACTTGTAATTACTTCAATGACCAATTCATTATAATAAAATTCTTCTCTTCAAATTTTCGTGTTGGATGAACTTCATTATGATTTCATGAATTCCAATTAAGGTTTTGCACCAAGGAAACTTTGTTCTAAAAAAAGGAACAAATTAAGTCCCCAAATGCACACGTCACTATAGATTTATTATGCCTAGATATTCTTGAAATTACCGAGTGCAGTAATGCCAAGAACTTGCGATTTTTGCTTGCATGAGGCAAAAATCCTCTGCTTAGGTCCTGCTCAACATCATATAAAAGAAGTTTGAGAAGGGCCACATGTACTTGTCCAAGCAACAGCGAGTCCTGAATACCAAAACAAGAAGAAAATGGAATCAAAAGTAGTAAAAAGACGGCAAACCTGAATAAGCCATATAAGATATCAAGTATAGAAAAGCATACCTTATCATGAAATGCTTGTGCAAACTCATCTAAGGTGAATGAACGTACATCAATTTTTATAGCCCAAGTACAAATAAAATGGAAGACCTACATAACCAATAAGCGATACTTAGCAAAGAGTGGCACAAAGTTGTATTTTAGGACAGAAAATACTAATGAGCCATAATATATAGCACAAGTACAAAGAAAATGGAAGACCTGCATAAGAAATAAGTCACACTTATCAAAGAATGGCACAAAGTCATATTTTAGGACAGATAATAACCAGGCACCAATTATGGCTAGAAAAGAATGGCATGCAGAGTCTAGTCTAATCTATTAAATGGCACGCCGAGTCTAGTCTAATCTATTAAAACTGACTCTTAAATGTCCTGTTGATGCTGCCAAGGCGTTTTCTTTCACTTCAAAATAAAAAGGATTTTGGATAGACAGGCTCTACCAAAACTTTTCTGGTTGGTCCAAACATTTCCCACTTGTCCAACTGTTGGTGAACAGTTTTTGGATATCATATAAAAATCCTTAATGTTGTCCCATATCCCTTCCATTTCCAAATATTTTTATGATACGCCATTTTAATGCAAAAGTACAGTTTTTTGGGAACCACCATTTAACTTTGCCAAAACACCTTCTTAAGTCACTAGACCTTATTATTACAATAAAGCAATAATGTAAATATAAACAAACAACAAAAAAGCTCTATTCCTTGGGATCGACTACATAAATTATTTTTCACCACACCGTCCAGTTGGTACAAAGCAACTAAATTTTAGCAACCACAACCACCATGATGATATTGGTCGACTTTCCCTCTTCAAGCTCATTCTACTAGCATCACGTCACTCTGATAAACTAGAGTATCTTCTTTAGGTCTACTCAAGCCATATTGCAACCATATTAGATGTCATTCCCTTAATTTATCCTCACTCAGTGTGCACTCTACTTGTCGATGAATATGCTCATTTCTTATATTATCCGTTCTAGCATTACTGCATAACCATCTAAGCATCCTCGTTTCCATACTTTTATCTTATGAACTTCTTGTCCTTTAATAGGCCAACACTCGGTACAACATAGCATTGCAGGTTATTTGTGACTAAATCGAATATGTCCAACAAGTTTATCTGTGACTAAAGCGAATATATCATGCTTATCTATGACTAAATTGTGTCATATATAGCTCGTGAACAAATACCTCTTTGTTTCATACAATCTTAAAAATCACCCAGATTCTTATAAATAGGCACCATACATTCTTCCTTCATCCATCCAGCATTCTTTTTACTCCTCAACAGAATATAGCATGCATATATATGACTAGATTTTGCTAGATACGTATGAAATAGAAAGCTCGTTAATATGTATATAGCATGAAAAGCTTTATAACAATTTACAAAATACTGAAATTTCTACCAGCAAGATATTTGATTATAGAAATGAGCAAATGGAAACCATTGTCTGCCATCAATAGTCAACTGTTGACTATAATGTGTAACAGACCCATCACTTTAATCAATTACAGGACCATAATAGAACAGCATGTTTGTATACCTTGAAAAGTTTCTTGACAAGCTCCGGAGAGGAATCCCATGGTTGGACATAGAAGGGAGGCCTCATTGTGACAGTATTTGGAGGGAACTTGGCTAGCAAATCTATAAAATTACACAATGTTATTATAAGGACAACGCGAAGTACGTACCTAGTGCACTCTAGCTATTTTCTACAAATCTGTACAAGTTTTGTTTAGTTTCAGGGATATAAATTATCCAGCTTTCATTGAGAATAACGGAACAAAATAATATTGGGGAAGAAAACAAAGTAATTAACAAAACAATATTGGGGAAGAAAACAAATTAATTAACCTTTGCAAAGCGAACAACCATGTGATCCATTGGTTGTAAAGTGTGCAGAGCAAGTTAATGGATTTGGTCCCGCTTGTAATTCTCTTAGCTCCAGTTCCTCATCATCTATTAACATTGCAAAGTGTTCTGAATTTTCCAGACATCTCTCTCTGTCCAGAGCAAGTTCGCATTTTTCTTTACAATTTCGCTTTTCAACTTTCTGGTACACCACCTAAAATTACAGCATGCCAAATCCAGATACTAACTTAAGTAAAGAATCCAGATATCCTTCTTCTGACAAGTAGAATAGCTAGAACTCGTTATACCTTTCTATTTCTTAGGGGAAGCTTCCTCTTAGCCTGTTCTTTGTTTGATAATTTTCTCTGCTCATAGAAAACTAACTATTAGTGTCTTTTCCGGCAATCCCATAAAAATAAAGATTTGTAACATCAAATGTTCAACTGGCTTCATAAACCAAAGAAAAAGCTATAAATTTGTGACGAGAACTTCAAAAAGGATAATTAGTTAGCTAACCAAAATATTTTGCCGTTGCTGATAACTATTTTTCTTCTGTTGGATGAGGCTCTCACGGGAAATACCATAAGAAGGAAACTCTCTACCCCCAGTATTTGTCATCTGCCAAACTCTCATCAAACCTTTGCCAATGCCATGTTTCTTCACAGGAGCACCCTTTTGAGATATTAAACCTTTACTCCTGCCATTTTTCTTTGCTGGAGCACCCGTATCAGTCATCAAGCCTTTACCCATGCCATGCTGCAGTGTTGGAACGCTATTCTCACAAACAGCCTGGTAATCCAAGGTGGTAGCAAGGAAACATACAAAATACAATAGAAATGTAAGAAATGATAAAAGCCCAGAATAATTTAAGCAATACCCATCTCATGTGCCTAAAATTTTCAATCAATCTTATCCTTCCTACCTTTCTTCTCTCATAGACTTGTAAATTCTCTTCAGAAGTATGATGACACTTTCTAGGACCTGGCCATAAAAGAGAAAAGCACCAGAAATTTTGTGTGTAAATAAAATTTATAAATAAAAATAAAAATTAAATAGGTACATGCATGCATTCATATGATTACACAAATACAGAAAAATATGGACCCGTATAAGTACTGGTGAGTTGGGGGATTGGGGTGACAGCAAGCGGCAGTATGCCAAATGCATTCACGCAAGTAAAAGAAAAAACAGTAAGCAGAAGAACTAAAACGTAGATAGCACAGACGGAATTGGGACCTTGTGAGTTAAGTTCAAGTCAGAGCCCCCCAAGTCCGACTTACTTTCTCCTGATACATGGGTGATTTTGGCACAAAAAGGAGGAACTATTTTAAATGTTTGTCATATTGGAAATAATTGTCTCAGAATTTAAGAAAACTAATATTTAGCAGATTCTGCTGAGCGAAGATACAGGAAATATTCCAATTCAGCTAACCTACCTTCAAATATTCCTCACATGGTTACACTATCTAAAACCCCCAGTTTTGACCAGGAGAAGGAAATAATGATGCTAAATAAATTATGAGAGAGTTTGAAAACTGATTATGAAAAAACAATTTGTATTAAATATATCGATGTTGTTTGAGCTAGTAAATATTTTTACCAGGAATTTAAACCAAACTGGTGGATCACATGCCTGCAGATTTCGCTTACCAGTCGAAGATTAGAAATTAACAATCAACTTTAGGCATCTATTTCTAGAAATTTAATAAAAAATAATAAAAATAGAAAGCAGTTAGAAATTTGCTTCTTTTATTTTTTTTTTTTATTTTTTTATTTTTATTTATTTTTTAACTGAATTTCCTGGACATGATAAGGTATGCAAGATAGTTAAAATTCATACAACTACAACCTGCCACTACTCCCCTAAGAACTTAAACTAGACCAACTATCTCTAAGGATAAATGCTGTTGGCAACACCAAATAGTTATTCTTTTTATAACATGTTTATAAATATATTGACCCCCCCCCCCCCCCCTCTTCTATTTTCTTCTTTCCAGTCGAAGTGGTACCACCGCCAGAAGGTTTCAAAACCCAAAAGGATTCGTCTCCAAGTTAATTGGGTTATTTTCTCCAATTAGTACACACATCATTTAACACCCTCCAAGATAACACTAGGTAAACGCATGTAACAACAGTACAAGTCTACAACAATCATCATAGAGAACAATTAGTGCAAAGTACACGCATAAACAAATCCAATAGAAATGGAACCAATACCATTCAATTACATAACATCACTTTTAGAATCAATATTAGACGTGCATCGATACAGTACCTTTCTTATTGCAGAGAAAAGCATTTGATGGAAGGGAATCGAATTCATTCCCAAGTGCCGGGCCGTCCTTTCGGAAAATTTTAGTGAGAATGTGCTCTGGAGAGTATAAAACCTCCTGAAGCCGTAGCCTGTAATCATCTTCATCCGTGAAAAGCTGGTGCTGAAGCTTTCTTTTTCTCTTCTTATCCATACTCTTACTCTTGCAACTATTTCCATTAAAATTCATCCCAATTCCACACTCCTGATTACTCTTTCTAGAATTCTGTCGATTGCTATTCGACTTTATATTGGCCATAATTAATTATCCAAATTATATTGATCAATAATCCATGCGAGGTGGAGGCAGTGGAGGAGGAGGAGGTGGTGGTGGTGGAGGTGTGTGGGGAAGAAGATAAAAGAGTTCACTCTTGTCTCTCTCTGGAACTGTGAAAATTGAAAAATGGAGGTCAGAGTTTTTTAAGAAGTAGGGTTTTGGGTTTTGTGGGCTGATATTTATTTATTTTCTTTTTTTTTTTCTTTTTTTTTAAAAGTAATTTATTTGCTGTTTCTAGAAAAATATCTTCCAGTAAGTGGACCGACAATTCTGAAACCGGGTCGGTGTCAAGGAAAGAGTTGAACTTGAACCGGTGCCAAGTGAGACTGACAACAATATTATATTTAGAGCCTGTTTGTAATCGATTTTTCGTTCAAAAAATTAATTTTTTAAATGTTATTTCACTATACTAATCGAACTTTTTGATTTCTTCACTCACAGATGGCCCTCACTTTTTTTCTAATGATCAAAAAGTCTATTATCAAAATCAATACCGATCAGTCCCTATTTTAAGATTAAGAAATTTGCAATTTTAGCCTTGATCCCTGGTTTTTCCCCCCTTTTTATTTTCTTTTTCTCTTGTTTATTTTTTTATGTTTCTTTTACTTTTACTTTTTTGAAATTTGTTAAATTTGTAAATATTATTTTTATGATTATACATCTACACTATCATAAGAGAGAGAATGAGGGTTTACTGTTCATTTTTTTCACACTCGTTTTCACACTTAACTGGTTTGAGAACTGATTTGGCAACAGGAAAAATTCAATTCAAAAATACTGTAGGAATTTTGTTACAAGTTATTGTCCATCGCAATATTTCTCCCTTGTTTTGAATCTGACACACCATACTTTTCTCCTAATTCTTACGTTATTAACTATCAATCATATCTTATATATTTAAATTTTTAAAATTATATTAATAAACAAAATTATTGTAAATAAAATAAAATAAAAAAACATATTCACTCCGTACATGGAGAAAAAGATTTACGTCATACCAGATAATTTTTCTTGAGCAAAATGATATATTGAGAAAATTGTTACGAAAAAAATAATAAATAGTAATAAAATAATTGATTTTTTTTAAGAAGACGACTTATACACATTTTTTAACACATACGTTTAATATCCGTTTAACTATTTTCAATATTCATTTAGATCATTCGATGTGTCTATGATATAATTCTTGAAATGAATTTCGAGAGAATGTAAAATATTTATCAATTCGACTATCGTACAATCGTCAATGAATTTTTAAAGTTAGCTTATTATCGAAAATTTCGAAACATAGTTTAAAAATGTCTATTTTGACATCCCATAACATTTGCTACAATTAGTCGTTTCACGCACCGTTTTCGATTTCGTTTGATATCCCGTAATGAGTCTGAAAATGAACACAAAAACATAAGTTAAAAAAAAAAAACAAACATTTAGCAAACCCTCGTGCATGGAGGTTTGCGCACTTTTTTTTTTTTAACTTTTATTTGTAGTTCATTTTTTATTAACATTTAATTTTAAAAAATTAAATATATCTAAATATTTACTTAAAAATGTTGAAGCTAATATTTTTTTACCTATAAGTAACTTTTACAATTATAATTTTTTATTACTTTTAAATAACTTGAAGTGGTTTTTTTTACTTATAAGTAACTTTTTACATTCTAAATAGTTTAATCTTTTTATTAATATTTAATTTTAAAAACTAAATATGTCTAAATATTTATACTTAAAAAATTTTAAGTTAACATTTTTTTTTATATAAGTAGCTTTTACAATTATAAGAAAATGAGAGATTAATATTTTTTTTACCTATAAATAGCTTTTAAAATTATAATTTTTTTTATTTTAAATAACATGAAGTGATTTTTTTACTTATAAGTAATTTTTTATATTTTAGATAGTGTAATCTCTTATTTTACTTTTTAATAACTTAACCGGTATGAAAATTGGTTTGGTAACAGGAAAAATTCTATTCAAAAATACTGTAGAAATTGTCACATGCCATTTGAGTGCAATGTCACGTCCACTGCAATATTTCTCCTTTATTTTGAAGCTAACACATCATGCTCTTTCTCTTAATTCTCACGTTATAAACTATCAACCATATTCTATATATTTAAATTTTTAAAATGATATTAATAAAAAAACTTATTGTAAATAAAATGTAAAAAAAAAAATATATATATATATATATATATATATATATATATATTCACTCCGTCCATGGAGAAAAAATTTACGTCATACCACATAATTTTTCTTGAGCAAAATGATGTGTTGAGAAAGTTGTTGCGAAAAAATAATAAATAGGAATAACATAATTGATTTTTTTAAGAAAAACGACTTACACGTATTTTTTAAACGCATAAGTTTAATATCTATTTAACTATTTTTTATATTCATTTACATCATTCGATGTGTTTATGATATAGTTCTCGAAATGAATTTCGAGATAATATAAAATATTTATCGATTCGACTATCATACAATCGTCGATGAATTTTTAAAATTAGCTTGTTATCGAAAATTTCGAAATATAGTTTTTAAATGCCTATTTTGACATCCCGTAACATTTGCTACGATCAGGGGCGGACCCACAGTGGGTCTTGATGGGTCACGTGACCACCAAGTTTGGATTTTATTTTGTTTTTTTGTTAATAAAATCGTATTCATCATAACTAGAGGAGTCTATCCCATTCCAAATTGCAGTCGAAATATGAGAAGGAAAATCGTCCCTCCGTAATGTTCGTCTCGCTTGAACGCTTCCCTAATCCTCCTCTTGACTTAAGTGTAGCCGGCGATTGGAGACTCAAAGTCATGCACCAATCCATCCGCCATCCGCTGCGGGCTTGTTGCTGCCGATTCAGTCGAGTGGTGCTGCTGCCATTTCAGTGGATTTGACAAGTTATGCTACTGTCGATTAGTCATCTGCCATCCGCCATTCGCCATCATCCAAATGTTGACAGTTGCCGCCACCGGTCCACCATCCATTGCTATAGCTGTCTCCTTCCCAAATCCTAAGGACCCAAGGTTAGTTACAGAGTCTACAGGTCTTTACTTTTATTTTGTGTTTAGATTTTAACTTACATAAACATTACATCTCCCGATCTCCGGACTCTCGTCATGACAATTATCTATGGCAGTGTGGGAAAGTGAAATTTAAACTGAAGATTTATTTTGTGATTTAGGAGTCTATCTGAATTTGTTGAACTAGGTATGTAAATGTTAGGGATTGAATTTCTTGGAGCAAATCTGAATATATTATTTGTGAATGTGTTGAACTAGCAAAATAGGTATGTAAATGCTAGGGAATAGGGATTGATTATTTGAATTTTGTTTGGGAACTGGAAATTTCATCAAAAATAAAAAATAAAGATAGCATTATTCGGCAATTGTGAGATTGATATGCTTAAAACTTTAGGCAATTATGAAATTTATTTTGTGATTATTGATAGAAGGATTATTTTTTCTTTTGAATTGAGTGTTTTATTTTGGTTGATTGTTGTAGCAGTTACGGGAAAGTACTTTAAGCGTAAATCTTCATTTTATTGTGATATGCAAGATGTTAATGAAAGGAATATTTGAAATGAAAAGGGTGAAATGAATGTTGGGGATGAAAGTAAGATACGAATTTTTATTGATTTTTTCCTCACTTTTTTGGAAGTTTGAGTATGCCCCACTAAAAAAAAATTCCTGCGTCCGCCACTGGCTACGATTAGTCATTTCACGCACCGTTAACGACATGCAATACTATGCCGCGCATACTTCAAAATAATATTAAGAATGTAATATTTCGACTTCGTTTGATATCCTGTAATGAGTTTGAAAATGAACACAAAAATATAAGTAAAAAAAAAACAAGAAAAAACTAATGTTAACAAACCTCCGTGCATGGAGGATTGGAAGCTCCGTACGCGGAGCTTTTTTGCCTCTATGCACGAATCATGCACAGGCTTCCTGCATGGAGTTTTTTTGCCTCTGCGCACGGAACAATGTTCAAAGTAATGCACGTATTTTTTTAAAATTTTTTTATTAATATTTATTTTAAAAAAATTAAATATATCTAAATATTCACTTAAAAATGTTAAAGTTAATATTTTTTATCTATAAGTAACTTTTACAATTACAATTTTTTATTACTTTTAAATAACTTTAGATGATTTTTTTACTTATAAGTAACTTTTTACATTCTAAATAGTGTAATCTTTTTATTAATATTTAATTTAAAAAACTAAATATATTTAAATATTTATGCTTAAAAAAAAAATTTTAA